TATATATAAAATTAATGAGGGTAATGTTAGAGATACTAAATTTTTAATTAAATCAAATAATGTGAATATTGATGATTGGATTCTTACTTAACGTGTTTATTTCCTATTGTAACACATCATTTGATTTACAAATTTGGTTTTCCCAACATTATCTAATGGGTAATGCCAAGGAGATTTAATTTGTAGACAAAATTTTGTAAAGTAAACTACATGGAAATTGATGAATGAATTATGATTTGAGCATTAATAAACGTTCTCGTTCTTATTAATGACACATCATTTAATTTGTAAATTTAATCTTTTTTTTCAATTAACAAAGGGAACTCCATAATTAATTAATTTTGTTGTTTCTATTTTTCAAAGCTAGCAAGTTCTAGAAGTTTGACATACTTGTGGTCGTATGAAGCTTTTTATCTGTTTGATGTTTGTCTGACTGGTGAACGCGTTACTTTTGGTTGGTGGTCATATTTCGTGTGAGTCATCATTCTTAACCTCATCTGCATATTCTCTGTTGAAAAGTTGAGGTGCGACTGCGAGCTGCACATGGGAATGGGATGGGAGGAAGTCAAGGCTAAAACCATTCGCCATTCGGCATTCGGCATTCGGCTGGGGTTGAATATAAATTTGCATGTAAACGAAACTCGAGAGAAAGTGGCTAGGAAGCTTAGAAATGGACAATTTATCTCGAAAATAAGAAGTTGTATTGTGCCCTTCTTGATAGAATATGGATTCTGAAAAACTCGGGTTTCATCGTAAAATTAATTAATAACATAGAAAATAATTATTAAAGATATATAAAATTTCTAAATTTTTCGACTTGAAATTCACACTCTCTACACCTCTTTTCAATTATTTGAAGTTTTGAACTAATGCGATTTCTGCAAACTAATTAAAGCAAAAATAACAAAAATATATATAATTCATTTTAGTATTAACTTGGGTAAAGCAAAAGGAATTATGAGCCTAGACGCAAGTAGCTAGTTATCCAAACATTCTGGTTACGGGCAAAAAGTACTAACTAGAAATTTGAAGAAGGTCCAAACGTTGAGCATATTTAATTTACTGCATATACTTAAGTGAATAATTTTAACTGATTTTGGTGCTTAGGATTGAATTTGATGTGTAATTTTTATAAAGTTCAAGACGTGTAAGAAATAATTTTTTTTTTAATTTTTTTGAGAGAAATGATGATTGTACTGATAAAGGATTACAGATGGAGGGAGAAAACTTGGCTCATGTCTGGAGATTCCTCAAGCTAAGTTTTTTTGAGTTAAGAGACATCCAGAAGTGAGTCAAACAGTGAGAAACTTCATTAGCTTGAAATGAGAAATGAATTTAGAGGTGAAAGATTTTTAATTTTGAGATATGAATTTAGATGAAATGAGTATGGTGGAATTTTTTTTTTTTGGAGGAAAAGAATATGAAAATTTGAATTTCTATGGGATTGGAGTAAGCTTAATTAGGTATGCATGAAATATTGTCGCGTTATATTACTTTCACTTAAATTATAACACTTGTATTTATCTTTTATTGATATAATTTTAAAGGTTAGAACCCTCCCCCACCCCCCGCGGGGGCCCCAAAAAAAAATTAAAATAAATAAAAGGCTTATCATGGTCTTTTAAAAGAAGATTTGATATAAACTCAAAAGGTCTTATGTTTAAGATCAAAAGGAACTTTATAAAGATGGTCAGCCTATATTCGAGGATGTGAAGGTAAAAGATCTTCACATTGGTGAAATGAAAAATATTGCAAGGGCTTATAAGAGGTTGAAGTACTCCCCATGTTGCCAATTGGTTTTATGATGGAACATCAACTTTGTTTATGATATTAGAGTAGGTTGATCATATGTGAAGCCTAACAACCACACGTGCTTCATGTCACCCAATTGGTGTTGTCTATATGTTTGACTTAAAAATTCACCACACATGAGGGAGCTTGTGAGAGTGTGAAGGTAAAAGAGTCCCACATCGGAGAAATGAGAAACCTTGTAAATGTTTATAAGAGGTTGGACTACTTCTCATATTGCTAATTAATTTTACGGTAAAACCTTAATTTTCTTCATATATAAGATAGACATATTACATTGTCTTTAGAGCAAAACAAGAGGTCACACGTACTAAAGAAACACAACAATGCTTTGCAATTACAATCTCATCAAGAATACAATATAAGATAACACCCACGTGATCTAAACTTTGCAAGTTGGAAAACTACTATAACGACATCACGAGTAAAACACCGCACTACCCCTTGATGATCTTGCAAACGCGGGCAAAAGAAGCCCTATAAGTCACCCCTAACAAACGTTGTACTTCCTCATCATACAGTTATTTGTCAAGTACACAAACTATTAAACCGCCACCACATATTTGAACGACAATTATCGCTCTAAACACTAAGCCATAATGGTGTATAACATTAAGGGGTATATTATCTACACATCCCTTTTTACTTCGCACTGCACCTTTTTAATTTCCAACCATCAGATTGAATGAATTGAAGAAGATCAAATGATATAAATTAATGAGGGATGTGTGAGAAGTAAAAATGGGTGTGGAGGTATCACACCCCTAACATTAATCCATGCACCTCAGATTTTATGTTTGATTTCCTCATTTTTTGTTATAACTTAAATAAAAACGTGAAATAAACACGAAATTAGGTTTTACTAATAGCCATGATACAGAATAAAGATGGATCATTAATTCAAAGCATGACATTGCATACTTGATCAGAATTCCCACTATAGTTGTTGATTTGATAGTAGCATGCATTGCATTCATTGTACATGATGTAAGTAAAGCCACTGCCCCTAAGTATATTACATGGAGAAGGAAAAAAGGCAAAAGGGAAAAAACCCCATGAACCCCATACCTTGTGAACAGAGGACTCCAGCTCTGGAAATATTACCGGATCCCAAAAGAAGATACCAAAGCTGATTCACATGCATGTACAACATCATGGCAGATGGGGCAGCAGCTGACATCGTTTCGTCTTTGTACTAGTTTGGTTGGTGCTGCCGACATACCTTTCCGTCTTTGAACTACTAATTCGATTTTGCTTCACACAACTGAACACATGTTGTTATTCATCATCATGGTTCATGGAACTTACATGCCATTTGGGTTCGGTCCATTTCACATTGCAAAAATAATAACAAGGGTGTTTTTCATTAAAAAAATAATAAAATTGGTTTTAGTAGCGATCAAAGATAGTCCTGCTATGAGACAAACCAGTCCAAGTTAATTACCTTTACCATATAGGCCGAGCATGCATGTCTGGTCCCTTATGGCCCGTAATGGCACATAAGGCCTTTTAACTGGTCCCTTCATAATGGCCCGCACAACCAGGATAGTGAGTGGCCCCGAAGTGAAGGTGAAGTTGAGTTTGATTATTAATGTGGGAACTCAAAATCCCTTTGACCGTGGAGGAGAAAGAGGAACGGACAATGGAGGACCCGGAAGTGTCGACAACGTCGGCGGAAGCGACACTATTTATTAGATGTTGTTGATATGTGATCAACATTTGGTACCAATAGGTCGGTACAACATTGTTAATTTGACGTTGATGTTGACGCCATAAACATTGACATGAAGATTATGTGTACCTCTACGAGAGCTAGGATCAAGCTTAAAATCATTACTATTAAGGGAATTCACCTTTGACCATGAGAGGTAAATGTTTCCTTAGCCAAGGAACTCTAGCTAGAAATTCCCATTCGTCCACTAAATCTAACTTAGACATCGAAGTGCTTTTGGCTCATAAACATGTGTGCTAAGGGCTCACACTATCACACGCCTTTATATTTGAGATTATACGGTTGAGTGAATTCTCCTTATCGTTTATTTTGGTATTTTTGCAAAATGATAAAATATGCAAAATGATAAAATAGGCACTAAGGAAGAGTGCTATTATAACCACCTATATCCTATTTTCCTGGTCACCTTATATTAATTTAAAATTGATTTATTAATTATACGGTAGGTGAAAGAAAATATGTTAAGTAAATTGGCATTACATCACCCTTAAAGAAATAAAACCATATGGCCTTATACATATGTTGTTTATGATTGCCTTAGATATAATGACTCATTAAACTTAATAAACACCAGATGGAGAAATGGATATCCACTAGTATTTTTTTGGTCAAGTCAAGGTAGAAGTTGAATTACTAATGGAGAAAATTAATTCTCACGAAACTTGTAGGATTGAGAGGGATAATTTTTTATTTTTATTTTATGACTAATTTATCTTCTATCTTCATTAAAAAATAAAAATAAAATCGTCATTCAAGATTCATTAAATTTAGTGAGTCATCTTATACAAGTCAATCCCAAACAACTTAAATAGTATTCATAGCCTGTCATCTCATGCTAATGAAATAAGGACAAGTAGACAAAAATTCACACGTCCTTATTTTGTTAGCACATGACATCACTATAATGGTGTAATGGTGTACTCATGCCCTATAATTATCGCACAAACGAGAACTATGTATCCACCAGAGCAATGTTTGAGAGGCCACTTATCATCCTTTACAGTCCACGTTACAATTTGGGCTGAAAATTAACTTACATTTGGGCTTATCACCACAAAGTTAAGTCATCAAACCGGGGGCAAAAAACATATTGGAATAAATTGCAATTAATTTAGGTAGGTAATTTTTACACACCATTTTTTACTTCTCATGCATACCTCTTCATTTTTATTGTCAAATTGAACTATACAAACGAAAACAACAAACATAATTAAACCACTGTGTGTGAGAAGCTAAAAATAGTGTGTTTAATATTTCCCAAACATCCAGAAACACACAAAACCAAAATAAATACATATATTTGCAAGGACAAAATGTAATCAGCTACATTCACTAAACCACTTACACAATGATCAACTCGAGTTACCATTTATTATTTAACACAATAAACAAGCCTCTATATGACATAAATCACAAGAAAGCAGAAGAAGAAAAAAGAAGAAAGAAGATCTTTTTTAAATAAGTAAAAAATAAAGAATACTATTCTCTAATTTACACAATGAATTTTGAGCAATCACTGATGATCAGAACCTGCTGCGAATGCTTGAACCATAATCTGCATGAGCCTGACTCTAGTTTGCAAGGACAAAATGTAATCAGCCGTGTCTCTGAAAAGTCCATCCAACCCCGTCGAATCTTCACTGTTTGGAATCAGTCCCTTCAAAGTTTTCACCCTTCTTTTGATCCCAATATTATTGCTGAGCCTTCTTGCACTTTGTAGGCGTGTCCATGTCTTCTTCTTCTTCTTCAGGATCCTTCTTCTTGGCGATCTCTTGTTCCTCACAACCACTCCACCACTTTCCCGTGTGATGTTCCACAATGCCCCATTTGTGTAGGACTTTCCCTCGGTTTCTAGGACCGTGCCCTTTAAACCAAGGGAAACAAGGAGAGGCTGTTGAGAACCCATGAATCCCGCGATGACTTAACCCGAAGTTTAAGCCTTCCAAGCGTCAAGTTGGTTGTAAAAACTGAAACGACTACTATGACAGAACTGGCAGAATGGGTGGGGGTTTTATAGGATATAACTGGTAACTTGGTTGGCGGCCCTTAAGGATAATACATTTTAATTAGTGCAAATTAACTAATGAGAGAATGAAGGGGTGAGGACCACAAGGGGCAATTTCAAAGAAGGACTCCAAGGGAATAGGGGGATAATTGAACGGGATGGTACCAAGTGTAGCTACTGGTGGTGTTTACTAGCTTGTTGCTTTGGGCATGTTCTCCAACTTATGCACATGCAACCACATGAGTCTTGTAATGTCACCACCTAAGCCCCTCCCTTAAACCACCACCTTTCATCACGCCTATCCCATGGAAAACACCCTGGATTATTCCTCCCCCACCTTTCCAAATTCAATGCCATATATAATCATATATGTGAATTGCTATTGGGGTCATTAATTAATTTCCTCACGATTCCAGCTCAATCAAACATGGCAATCCACATTTATATATGATAAACCTAATTTTCTAGTTTCTAGGGTTTCTTGGTGGTTAGGCCGGCCTTGTTTCCAGGCAAGAAACCTATATTAAATAAAAAGAATTGGAGAAGCTGCAGAAATACCATTTGGGTTGAGAATTGGGTGGACAAATTAGATCTTGATGTTGGGATAAGATAGATTTTGTTCTGACATTCATGAACCCTAGTTTCCATCAAAGTGATGATTGATGTCTCTCAAGTCTTAGAAAAATAATTATTCCTAATTCATTAAGCCATGTTTTGTAACATGCATGCATGTCTGTTATATCATAGTACCCCCAGGAAACTTTAAACTTGGACAATCTTACAGAAAGATGCATGCATCTTCTGTCACTCATAAACTTTCGGTGGAGATATATACCATATACCGCTCCAAGCTTGATTGGATATTTATTGGCGGAATCCTATTACTTAGTTCTTGTTTAATATCTCTCAGCAAAACTAATTAGCAGTGTGTGTATATATATAAAATGGTTTATAAAATTTTTTTGTCTATTGATCTTTCTTCAATTCTTCATTTGACGGTCGGAAACTGAAAAGAATGTGTAAAAAATAAAAAGAAATGTGTAGATAACACCACCCTAAGAACAAGGCCGGCAGCAAGCAGCAATGTTTCAGCTGCATGCATGCATGCCCAGTATTAGTTCGTTTACACATTACCGTAAATAAAATCAAAACCAAACCTTCTAAATTTTTAATCATATTTTCATCCCTTTGGTGATAATCTGATTGTTTATGTCTAGAATGATGCTGTTTAATACTTCAGTTTATTTATTCTTTTTCCAATAAATCCCAAATTCTACTAACCCTAAACTCAAAACTTTTATCGGTTAGACCTTCAAATTAAACTTAGGGTAATGCTAAGGAGACTAGATGTAAACTAAATGATATGGAAGTTGATGATTAGATTATTAGTTTATTAACGTACTTATTTTTTATTAGTGATACATCATTTAGTTTGCAAATTTAGTCTACAAATTTAGTCTATCTGTCATTACTCATTAAACTTAACCCTTTCATAGAAAACAAGGTCGTTTTAGATGGGGATTGATTCTTTTGGAGCGATCTAACGACTTCAATTAATGTCTTCTGGTGGTTCAGTTAATCTACAAGCTATTGCTTAGCTTTGGGATTAAGCATGAGCCAAACAACACGATGCACATGTAGATGCGGTTACCATGTCTGGCCAGCATTATCGAAGTCCATAGATCGAACGGTTCTAAAATATGCCACGCTGCAAAACTTAGAACAGGGCTCCAGCTAGCTAGGGATACTTAGTTATAATGATTGTGCTAATTATTAAATATATCGATCAACCAATGGATAGGAAATTAGGGTGTCCTGATATTCTTGTCATCCTTTGGTTGGTGTTTATATACTATTTTAATGTGTATATGTACTAATTGGAAAATATAAACTCGGTTTAACAAAACAAACACATTTTGTGACGGCTATGCACATGGGGATTTATCCTAACCCTAGCTAGTAGTCATGCAAAGCATTATTGTTTCATCAATATTCTTAATTTTGCAAGCCCATGTAATTGTGAAACTAGTAATTACAGAAATTACTTTGAGCAAATCTGCTATGTGGACTTCATTTGTTAAGTGTTTGAGTTAGGGTCTTTAAACGTATACTATTAGCCAGTAACTAATTAATACGATGCTAATTACTTGTTTCAATTTACTCAACCAAATAATTTTTTGATATGAACCATACATGTTTTAAGTCCACATTCACGTATCACATACTTGCAAAAATTCACTCAAAAAGAAAACGTTTAGCCCTTTGATGGTTATGGTGTATATTTAATTGTTTATCAATAATTAGGGCACGATTAGATAACTAAACAACTTTTAATGTAAACTTTTATAAGGCTGTTCTTTCAATAAAGGCTAAATAATGATCAATTCAGATTATTATGAGAAATATTGTGGAATAAACCTATACTCAACAAAGTTAGGTACGAACTTGTTGACATGTCTCCATCTTAGGAAAAGTATTAGATGAATTCTGCACGAGGAGAAATATATTTTATATAGAAATTTTCAGTGAACATGGAAGCTTGACACTTAGTTAGCTGAAATGAATAAACTAATAACCTACACTTTAGCACAAGCGTGTCCAACTTAATGGGCAGCTACACCTCTCTCCCAAAACCATCATCTAGAAATATGCAGACACTTAATTATGTTCTCAATTATTATTATTTTTCCCCGTAATGAGTTGTTGGCTTTGTGACCATCATTATGATTAACCAACGCAATACAATATTCCCTCGTAATCAAGGAGTAAGTAAGCAATCAAATGTCATAGGAAGAGTATTAATTGTGAATTTTCGGCCTTAATTCTTCTTTTTCTTCTTCTTCCTTGAAATTCTGGTGTTATGTTTGCCTTGTCATGCTTATGAGGGTACTTTAGGAACCAAATTAAGGGAAATGATTATCTCTGGATTCCTTGCCACCTAATCCATTTAGTTCGGGATCCGGACCATTGAGATTTGATTCAAAGGCTACAAATAGAGGGTCCTTTTAAAAGTGATAATAACGGTAGCCGTTGAATCAAATTCCAACAGCTCGGATCCCGGATTAGGTGGAAAGGGATTCGAAGAGGATCTCTTTCTCAAATTAAGGTGCAGGTGTGCTGTGGTGGCCACCTACGTGGCGCATGAAAAGCTTGCTCTACATATCACATATCGACATTCCACATGTTCGTGCGTATGGCGACGTGCTCACATGAGAAAACATGATTTTTGCATTCAATAATGAAACATCATTATTTCTCCTTTGGTTTTTATGTTTTTCCACTTTAGTTTCTTTAGCATTCCTAATGAATCGTGCATCTAGATTTTCCTTCAAAACTTAAAACTTTCAATTAGTAAATAATTAGTAATTATAGTACTATATAAGGGTGGGGTTTTTGTGCACTTAGGCCATCTCCCACATAAGCCCCTTCTCTCTATCCTCTCTTTTTAACTATTTATTAAACATGATATTTTAGAGAGCTAAAGCATAGTCTGGACTATGTTTAGCCCTCCATGGTTGGATGTTTGGAGATAGCCTTGGTCAAGGAGAGGTGAAGAAAATGGTATAGCCCGGCTCCCTACTAGAAATTAATTTGGCTTAGCCCGCGTTGGGAGGCCACAGCAAGGGAACTTTGGCATTCTAGTGGTGACAACAGTTCTTATCATGACGGATCTATCCTATCCATCTCCATAATAGTAAAACTCATTTATCTCTATAATCACAAAGTAATCGTCGAGTATTCTCCATAACCATTCTTGCCAATAACGAATTTTCCATCGATGACACTAACACTGTTCTACCTTTATCGAGGTTAATAAAAATTGAATTGGGTTAGTTATTTAGCGATTAAAAACATTCTCAATGTCAAGCAACATAAAAACTAGGATTAATAATCTAACCAGTAAACAAATACCCGTAGAATTATTTAAGCTTACAGATAAACTCATGAAGGGATAATTCATTGTCAACGTTCTTATTATTTTAATATTCTGTAATTATCTAAAAGATAGAGTTGTGTATTAGTTAGTGTAATTATGTCATAGGTTTTTAGACTTATCCCAATTAGAGTTTCATTCTCCGTGAATGACTTCATGTGAAGTAGTTATGCAATAAAACCGATTGGTAATTTGAATCAAAATTTATAAACTTGATCCTCGTTTGTGTAACAATTATTCCTCATCCCTGCAGAGATCACAACACATATAATGACATTGGTCCTTCTTGGATATAGAGTCAAATAATCAATACAAAAAGATTGCCAAACAGATAAATTAACCTCTTGACCTAAGGTAATCTCTTGAGAAAGATTGAATTATTCTAATTGCATGCCTAGCTAGGTCTGACAATAAAATTCTACATCTTGAGTCAAGGGAGCCAAAAACTAGCCATAGTTCTCTCCTCCTCTGAAAGGAACTCCTCTTTTTTGAATGTCAAATCATACTCCTCCTGGTTATAATGATGCCGGCAATAAGTTCCATTAGCTTCAAATGCCTTCACAAGCTTGAAGAACAACGTCTTTATTGGCTGATCATCAAGATCCGCACAAGCTTTGTAGTTGAGCAGAATATTATGAGCTCTACCGCGGAAAAACCCTAAAACAAAATCTTCAAAACCCATAGGCAGGCACTTCAACATACTAAGCATGGCTTCACAAGTTTGCACAAAAACTCTTTTGTTCAACTTTGAGTTGGATTTCTCTCCATCGAGTCGCGGATACTCACTATTGAGGTAGGGTTTACCGTTCATGAGAACCAATTGTTGAATCAAAACAAGTGTCTCCAATATATTAGATTGTTTCAAAATAACCCCTTCAAGCGAAACGTTGCCGCTTTTAGGCAAGTTAGGGTTGAAATCAAGGCCATAAGAGTGGTAAAACAGTTGGGGAGGCTGAGTGGGAGAATTGCTAGGAAAGAATATGTCAAATAAAAACAAGCCTTGGTGATAAGGAGCACCCTCTCGACCAACTATCACAGCTCTCATGACATCAATCCTTGATTCATAAACCCTTACAAAAATTGAACTTGGGAGACCTTGCCTTAGGATTCCGCGTTCTTCTTGAATCCGTTTGGCTAGTGCTGCGTCTATACAATTATAAAACGGTTTCTCGCGGAAGTAATGATCATAAGGAGGGTAAGCACTCATCGAAAAGTTCTTGAACTCATGGAACCTCCTCTCCACCCTATCTTTTATTTCTTCAATTTCTCCATAAAACTTCGACGACGTCTCTTTTATTTCTTCAATTTCCCCGTAAAACTTCGACGATGTTGGACGTTCTTCCAATGCTTCTTCCCCAAGCTCCCCATGATTAAGCTTTGGTGTTGGTTTGGACTTAAACTCCCACTCCTTCACGATCGGGATCGATGGTTTGAACGTCTCTTGGAACCTATAATAACTATAAATCCCATAAAAGTCCATTGCTTTGATTTTCTTGTTAACTATCTTCAAAAAACTTTTCTCGCATCCGATACAATCTACCACAACTCTGGTATCTAATATATATAGAACTACCGACAATATATATATATATATATATATATATATATATATATATATAAATTGTCTTATAAATCATTAGTAGATTGAATTTAGGATACTAAAAGATCTATTTCTTTCATAACTGTATTACTTTCAAGACAAGCAATCTTATCCAGTTTACTATAAATAAATCCCAAACTAATATTGTAGTAGTGTAATGGGAAATATGCATCACATAAATTCTTCAACCCTCCTTTTCTCTCCGCTGCACACCTCTCTCTCTCCAGTAAAATAGGCAACAACACACACAAACACACACACACACACATATATATATATATATATATATATATATAACTTTTTCTTTGCTTTGAGTTAGTAATAATCGGAAAACCAAATTCTAAGAGGAATGAAAGAATTAAAATTAAGGGTGGTGTTATCCACACTTTTTTTTTTTTTTTTTACTTCTCACATATTATTTATTAATATATGTCATTTGATTTTTTTTCATTCAATCGATCCGCCCAAAAATTGAGAAGGGTATGTGAAAGATAAAAAAAGGTGTATAGATAGCACCCAAACCAAACTGGATCATTTAAATAAAGGACAGCCTTGTTTGGTATTCATGTTTGAGCAATCCGAGTTGCATTCCTATTACAGAGGCCTAAACGTGGCCATTTGTGCCACTTAATACTACGGTCTAGTGATATTCACTTGTAAGTAAGAAGGCTTAGGTTGGATTCTCATCAAAGGCGAATTTGAACTACATTATTACTTGTCCATTGCGAAATCATTCCCTCCTCTCAGTATAGATAATATCATTTGTTCAAAAAAAAAAAAAAAAAAAGCAAACAAACAAACGTGGCCGTTTGTAAGATTATGCCTTTCGTTGAATTATTATTATTTTTTTTTAAATTTTTTTCATGGAATAAATGATGCAACAACCAACCGAATTTGAGACCCTATTAATTTTATTTATTTAGTTAAGGATCATTTGGAAATATTTTAAAAATAGTAAAAAGTGCTTTGGGGAAAATGTTATTGGAACCAATCCTTAGTAAAAATGCAAACGAATCCTGAAAAAACACTTGAAGCGCTTCCTACAATAAACACATAACCGATGTTTCTTGCATGAACCACTTCAAGTGCTTTTGGAATCCAAAACTATTTTCTCTAAAAACACTTTTAGTCATTTTAAAAGTACTTCCAAACAAACTTTTAATTAGTATGACTCCGTTGACAATTATTAATGTTAGGGAGCAACACTTTCAAAATCAAATTAAGAAAGAAAAGAATGTCCAAATCTTTGACAATAAATTGCATGGTATTGCAGATTGAAATAGGAACTCTCTGGATTTCTTTCATCCAAATCTTTTAGATTCTTTAATCATATCCGTTCAACAAAAAATAGAATGGCCAAAAATTAATTTTCTTTTCTACATTTCCTGTTCTTCCCTCTTCTCACTTCTCTCTTCGACTCTCTCCTCTCTCTATCTGGGAGGATTACAACCGGAGGCCGAAAGACAATGGTGTGGGCGTAGTGGGTCGGCAACCGGAGCCTGCACCCTTCAGAGCACACAAAGAATTGAAGGACAGAGGAGTCGCATGAAAGGGATCCAGAGGCAATCTTGATCCTTATCGATTGACGCCTGGTTTTATCTTTTCTAAATTTTTTTTAGATTGACACCTACTACTTTAGTACGTACCATGAAAAAGAATTGTACATCTTCAATAAAGTAGTTGTGGAATTAAATATTGACACATATATAAATTTGTCTGGGCTTAAAATGTTATTGGGCCAAGTGTAGGTTCGACCCAAAGCTGCCTGGTGGTCCCAGGCTGTTCAAGGTATAGTTAGAACGGGACAAGAAGTCCTAGTCAGAATACGGGTTCAACTTGACCATGAGGAGGTTTTGTTGCTATAAATAGAGAGCAGAGTGCATCATCCAGGGACCTCCAATTAAACACACAATTGCCCTGCGCAAACCTCTCAAACATCTTTAGATTTTTTTTATTTTCTTTTTTGACCGACACATCTTCAGTTTGGATAAACAGCACTGTGAAGGCAACTGGCGAACATCTTCAGTTTGGATAAACAGCACTGTTGCCGTAGAATCAGCCGATCAAGGAGTACCTTCAGTTTGGATAAACAGCACTGCGTCGACGACGACTAGTTACCTATCCAAGTCTCGGCCGAGAAAGGTTTCCGAATCCTTATTGGTAGAGGTCATCTTATTAGTCTTCTCGGCGAAGTAATGTGTTACGAGTTACGACATTCGGCACATTTAACGCCGAATGGTTTTATGATTGGATATTCGTAAGTGAGTTTTAGAGTTTGGCATTCTGACGGCCGAACCACATTTACCATCAAGATACACATCTCCTTTGAGTACTTGTGTCCATATAGTCCGGTGTCAATTCGACGTGCTTATACTCTCACGAATATAATCACTGTGACTGAATCTGGCGCCGACGATTCGTGAACTTCGCAGAACTAGCAGCCTTGTCTTCAGACTCGAGAATCCAAAGGCCGAGATTTGTTCCTTCCTCGGCCGCAGTCGCAAGATCAAGAAGTCAGCAACGCGCTTAGCACAACATCAACAAATTTTACTCCTCGGCCGACGAGTTGGCACACCCCGCATCAACTGAAGGACGTAGTTAGCTCATTAGTTACTCGGTCTGCGTGCCATGTAAGCTTTGTAATTTTTAGGGTCAACAAAATTAGAAAAATTCTACAAACATGGAAGTAGTTGATTGCACAACTATAAACAGTTACATATTAACTATCCAAGAGCTGGGGGGAAACAAAAAGATCAAACGGCCAGAAAAAAAATAGAAGAAAAAGTCACGGCCTGAAAAGAAAATTGTCTAATTGGACATTATTTACGAGAAATTCTTCGCCACGGCCGTTGCATGCACAAATTAGTAGGAAGAGCTTTTCAGTATTTAACAACGATGAGAAAATATGTGAAGGATCACTGCTCAAGTAAGAGTTGGCCTGGTCTTCAACATCATTTTATTTGCAAAATTTTGAGGATATGTCCCAAAACAAAAGGACTCTGAATACTAGGGACGATGGAAATCATAAACCAAAAGTTTTCCAATTTTTTGCCAAATAAAAAAGTTTGAGCAAATAACCAATTAGACGTAAAGACCAACTTGAAACTAATAGAGGGGGAAAATACTCTATAACAAAAAAAACCCCAGATTACATGGCAGCAAAAAACTAAGAAATGTAAAATGTGGTTAAAGATTCTCAATACAAATTGTAACTCTGCATATAGAACACCTTTACAGGTAACTCAAAATGTTAACTGTTTCAACGAGTAGGACCCCGAACTTGTTTCAAGGAGGGGTGGGCATTTTAGTGGGTCTAATGACCAACCCAACCGATATGTTGGGTTCTAAACATTAAAAACTTATTTTTGGGTAAACACCCGTCCACCCGTTCTATATGCGGGTTAGGATGGGTTGAAGTACTATTAACCCGATTGAACCCAACCCACCCAAATGACAATAAATAGTACACTTCCAACCTTTGAAAGCAGATAACACTTATCTCCATTTTACAGACTTGCTTGTGGAACCACCCAACAGAATTTATAATTTGCCAATGCTGGGACTTGAACACTATGCAGCGCATAAGAAAGTGATTTGATTTGAAATTAAGAACAGGGGGCATTGGAGCTAAATCAAGTTCTCCATTTTCCCACTCAAATTAAACGTTTTACTTCTTTAAGTTTCATCCGTTGTGGCATCAGTTTAAGCAAAGGAAAACAGCTGAATAAAGTGGCATCATGAAATTTTCATACCAATCAGAAATTAAGTGACCACAAAAGAATAATGTGTAAGAAAGGGAAATAAAACAGACACACGGATGAAGTATACCGATTCAACGGCTTCTAACTTCATTCATGTAGGACAAATGTTGCGTATTAGTTCAGCATCTACAGGTTCAATGTTTCTCCCACAGTCGAGAATCAAAGTCTCTGAAATAAATTATCAAACTAATCACTGCAGAAATAACAAGAAATATTTTATAAATAAAGAGTGACTTATTGTTTCCAGTGTCATGACAAGATGTAACGGATACCAACATACATGAAGGAAAAAGGAATTACATCTGCAATTTTTCAACTTTGTAAAGAGATCCAAAAATTAATGAAAAAGTGATACCCTTTCATCTTCGAATTTTCATTGCCCGAAACTCATCACAGCAATCAACAAAATCTGTAAGAGCCAACAACTTTTGAGGCAGTCTACATTTCTCTTTCTATGCACTAGAATTTCTTACAATTTTCTACATTGTTTTTATTAGAATCATTTTAAAAGCCATACAAATCAAGGGAGATGAGGAAAATAAAATCTGTTTGGAAAGCAAATTAAAAGAACCCCATGATTGAAGCCAAGGTTGTACATATCAGTTTAGTTGACATTTTAATTTCCCATCAGAATGACATGTACTAGTAGGTCAACACTATTTCAGATTTGGATGCAAAGGATGAAACATGATCACAATGCTACAAGTTAACAATAAAAGGATGTATATTGACGTGCTTATTCTTGGTCACATGCTATGTGAAGAACTCTATTCGCTGTAGCCTATAGTTATAAAAAGGTTTTCGGCTCAGTTACTCGAAGATCCAAGACCCTTTAGGTTCGCTTTTGGTGTTATCATGAGAATGTTAGATTATTAGTGTTAGAATGTTCGAGGTATTCTAAGCTGTCTGCCCATGTTTCGTACAAAGGAACTGGTCACATATTGACCTGGTGTTTCTTAAAGAAAGGAAATTTGTTCTTCTGAATTCCACCTATGTGTCTAACTAAAGTAATTGACTAAGGCCAACCTAAAACCGAAGTTTGAAACTTACCAGTTATAGGCTGCACAAGTTGGAAGATTGATAAGCTGCATCACAACAATGTAGATGAAATTTAGACTGCTAGCTCACTGCTCAACTCAATTAGTAAATATATTCACATACATATCAATGACGTAATATGTATCACAGAGGCAAGTAGGCAACCCAATGTCATATGCCAATTTGATTATTCGTATAATTTCCACAGAAAAAACACAAACATAAGAGCAATCTTGAGCCAAATCCTTCCCTTTTCTTACCAATGCTCTGTCTAAACCCAAAATTTGCAGAAAATGCACTTAAATAACATAGCAGTACATTGTGTTGGGACAATAATATCAACACACTATCGATGATATCGCAAAGTTTTCATATATAATGAAAGAAAAAAGGGAAAGAAAGTAGAGAGCAAATACCTATGAGGAGTGACATCAGAGAATTTGGTAGGAGCCCAAGCCATTAACATATTGCCAACACAAAGCAAGCTTCCTTCATAATCCACACCATTCACTGTGAATCCATTATGTGCAACTTCACCAACACAAATGGCAAAATTGTAATAATTAGTGGCTAAAAGTGAAATTAATTAGGGAGTAATCAAAAATAATAAAAAATTAATTAAGGAGTAGGCAGGTACCGCTTAAAGCGAAGCTGGTTGTCGGGGACGTTGTCGATGAGATTGATATGATCGTAGCGAGAGAAGGCACGTCTGAGAGACGGGAGTGACTGTTGGGTTGTGGGCTTCTTTCCGGAGGGTCCGGATGAGGTTTGGTAAGGCTCCGGCTGCTCTTGCTCTCGACCCCATTTTTTATTTCGCCGTCTGTCTCCCTGTCTCTCTCTCTCTCTCTCTCTGTCTCTTTCTCCTTCTCTACATATCTTTCTGTGTTGCTATGCTGCACAATAACTCAGTTCATACCTTATTGCAATTATACAAAGAGAAGAAACAAGTGTGGAAGTCTTTGAAAGGCTCCAACATTCAAACAACATTAGCTGGATTGTATGCATCCTTCACTGCTTTTCATTTCTACTGTCTCCGTTTCTGTTGGGAATCTTTCAATTAAGTTTATTTAAGTGACTTTTGTAGAGTTCACTTCATATCCTAATTTCAGATCGTCCATTTTTAAGTCTTATTTCAAAGATCATTCAAATTTGAAATCATTTGAAAAATCTTATTCATTTATTTACTTCACTATAATTGCATGTCTTGATGGTTATAAGTTTACTTGTTTACAAGAATGATCTATGAATAATTTACTAAAATATAGACGGCTTTGATTGTTGAAAAATGTTATAGTTCATTTTATTTACTTATATTTTGAAAATGCCTCTACCTTGTGAATTTATATTCAAAGCACGAAGGCGTTGATTATTCATAAATCAAATGTAATCTTGAATCACCATATAATATTCTGACAACCAAGTTCAAACACCATTCTTGTAGGCCTCGTTTCGTGTTTAGGACTAGTATTGAATTGAAATGGATAACCTAACAGATACCCATGACAAAAACTTACCCTATTCCAATTTCCAAACCCAAAATGTGCAAGCAACAAGCAAACTCATGGAATATCTTTAGAATGATCAACAAAATTTTACAACTATAAAGAGTGCTAACCTCAGTCATCGACTTCCTTTTCAATTTCTCTTTGTAGCTCCTCCTTGTACTCCTCGAAATTCCCCAGGTAAGGGGTCACCGTGCCATTCTTAACATCCCAAATTTCACTCCTCTCTTCATTTTCACACACACGCGATATCAGCCTTGAATCATGACTCACCAGTACAACTCCACCTATGAATTCATCAAGTTCATCGGCCAGTGCGTCAATACTCTGCATATCCAAATGATTCGTCGACTCATCCAACAGCAAAATGTGGGGCCTTGACATGGATATGGATGTGAACACAACCCGAGCTTTTTGACCTCTAGATAATTATGCAATGGGAGTGAGATGGTTGTGGCTGGGGAGTCCATATTGTCCAAGCTTTGCACGAACAGCCTTTTGCTTGCTAAGGTCTGGATGAAGCTGGAGAAGGTACTCAACTGGGGTCTCACCCATTGTTAGGATGTCCACAAAGTGCTGTGAATACCTACTGATCCTCAACTTTTGACTCCTCCATACTTCGCCCTTCGAAGGAACCAAATCACCTGCAAGAAGGTTGTGTGTAGAGTGTGCCAACTCGTCGACCGAGCTCAGCCAAGGAGTAAAATTTGTTGATATTGCGTTGAGTGCGTTGCTGACTTCTTGATCTTGCGACTGTGGTCAAAGAAGGAACACGTCTCGGCCTTCGAGTTCTAGAGTCTGAAGACAAGGTTGCTAGTTTTGCGAAGTTCATGAATCGTCGGTGTCAGGTTCGGTCACGGTGATTATATTCGTAAGAGTATAAGCACGTCAAACCGGCTCTAAATTATACGGACACAAGTACTCAAAAGAGATGTATGTCTTGATGGTAAATGTGGTTCGGCTGTTAGAATGCCGAATTCTGAAACTCACTTGTGAGTATCTAATCATAAAACCACTCGGTGTTCAATGTGCCGAATGTAGTAACTTGTAATAACTTACTTCGCCGGGAAGGCTAATAAGATGACCTCTGCCAATAAGTATTCGGAAACCCTTCTCAACCGAGACTTAGATAGGTAACCAGTCGTCCTCGACGCAGTGCTGTTTATCCAAACTAAAGGTGCTCCTCGGTCGGCTGATTCTACAGCAACAATGATGTTTATCTAAATTGAATGTGTTCGCCAGTTGCCTTCACAGTGCTGTTTATCCAAACTGAAGATATGTTGGCAGAAAAAGAAAATAAAAATCCCAAGATGTTTGAGAGGTTTGCGTAGGGTAGTTGTGTGTTGAATTGGAGGGGGCCTTTACTGTTGCCATGGCACCTGTATTTATAAGATTGATGTACTTGCTTGGCACCGTCTAGATAATTGTGTAGAGTCTGACTACAACTCTAACTCGCTGAAATCTGATCAGTGGTCTTCAAATTTCGTGACTTCTAAAATAAAGCCTATCTAGGCTTTATCACACCACATTAGAACCCTATCACACCTAGGCTTCTGATCTTATTAAAAAAACACCAAATCAAGCAGAAACTTTTACTTTCATCACCATGCAAAAACAAAAAGCCTAGTCTACCTAGGTTTCTTGTGTCACTATCACAACGCTTATCACATCACCACCAAAATCCAACCTATCTAGGCTTCTTCATAATCTTTACCCATGCATGCATCCTGATCCCCACCATACTCTAAATAGGCAACAATCAATTTGAACCACCTGACGCCACCCACATATTCACACGCCAAAACACCCAAATCAACTTGAATTGTGCTGCCACGTTTCCAGTTGGAATACATATCTCATCTTTCATAATAAATTATTATTAAAAGATAATTATGATAAAACACCATAACATTATCCTCTAATAATAACAAAATGAATTATCTCCACTTTTCATCTGATGGTGTGAAGCTATGCTCACTTAACGACCTTGATTGCACAGGCCGACGGTGTAAATTCGGGTCCAAACAAGTACCATGATTGACTTTTTAGTGTAAAAATATGGTTTTTCGTTAAAGTGAACAGTACCGGAAGCTTTTCGTTAATGTTCCCTTTAATCATCTCATTTATTAATTATATTTTGATGTAGTATTTTTTTTCCCTATTTTTACATTTAATTTCATTATTCATCATAATATATTTTGATGTCTACATTTAAGTAAACTAATTTATTTTCTATAATATGTTCCGATATAATTTGACACACCTCGACCAAAATCAAGGCGTGATGGCCGTCACTGTGAGGATGACGTAGCTATGTGCACAGTGCGGAAGCAATAATAATATAAGAAATGCGAATAAATAAAAACAAACTAACTAGAGCACTAAAAGATAAGGGGCAAGACAAAATAAGTATGAATTCACAATCAGAGCATAAGTAGCCTAAGTGCAGTCCAGCAGGACGCAAACTAATTATACAACATCCAAGGGTGACCATACAATGGTGATAATCTGTTAGAGCTGCCGTGGATTCCTCGCAAGCCACCAAAAAGCACTCCTAACTAGAACCTGGAGGGGCGTAAAACAAAAAGTGTGAGTGGGCAAAAACAAAGCTTTTCAAAATCATTTCATTTCTCAAAAGTTCTAACCCTTCGCCGTAAAACCTGTATAATTTCCCAGAAAATAGAATACATACATATATTGAAACCATTCTCGAATTAGCAAAATCCACATATATGCCATGTCAAATATCTTAGCATAAAACATGTAAGCCAGGTGATATAAATCAATGCAAATGATATGTTAGCCGGAGTCACCTAACGTGACCTATACGGCTGAATCTAAAGCTCATCCATCTAGCCGAAGTCACCTAACATGACCTGTACGGCTCAAATCCACATCTTAACAAATATACTTGCACATAAGCCGGAACCACCTAAAGTGGTCTATACGACATGACTGGGTGTAAATAAACACTCTCAAGTGCTACGATCACGTGTAAACTGTGCGAATAATCGCAGGTCATCTACGAGTCGAAACCACCTAAAGTGGTCTGTACGACATGACTGTGCACCTAACTTAGATCCAAGGTGAGCGTATGGTACGGAAGGTGAACATCACGTGAAGGACTGTGCCCTAACTCTGGGCGGGAGCACTAACATCGGGGTGCAGGTTTATGAGCTCTCAACACATCTCACATAATCATCAATTCACATAAACAGTCTACAACTCACCTGGTACTTACCTGAGCGTCCACCGTGTCAAGTCACAATATGCACATATCATACAAATTTATAGTCTAAGCATAAATCAATAGGCATGACATTTGAACATAATTTTATTCAAATTGATTTTCTGGGAAAAATCTCAAGTATATAGGTATATACGGAAAACCAAAAGCCAACTCACTGGTATGTGGAAGGGTTGTAGCCCCCAAGCCTTGATTGACTACGCTCGTCCTGAGCATAGGTCTCACCTATATGCAAAACAACTATATAAATGTTAATTTAAAGCACATAAACGAAACTAGCTAATAACTTCTCATACATTGCTCAAATGGAGTGTTTGAATATACTAACGTGATCTACTCAACACCACAAACATCCCCATATTTTTTGAAATTTTTTTCGACCACCCACGCGCCGCCAACCCTAACGGAACAGTTAACGGCAGTTAATAATATTCCGTTAAAACCTTAACAGAAGTTAACGGCGTTACCTGACGCTGTTAGAATATTCCGTCAACTCTAATGGAATATTCGTCTCCTTCTCCGGCGAGCCTCGCCGGTCGCCGCCGTTTGCAACTTGAATTTTCAGCCGATTTCTAGAAAAACCTTAAAACTTCATATCTTTTCCATTTCTCAACCAAATTCCATGAAATTTGTACCAAATTGAAGCTTATAATGAGTAGAACGAAACCTTGCTACGTTTAGGACTTAAATCCAATGGAATCTTGCCAGAAAAACCCACGAAAATCTGGCCAAACTTGAAACTTGCCAAACTCAACTTCCCAACGTCCAAAACACTTCATTTTTCTTCTCCGAGCTTAGTGAAGACGTTCTAAAGCTCCCTAGAAGCTTAAAAACTTCTAAAAACTTCACGATCATGATTGCATGAACAATATCCAAATCGAAGCTCGTGAGAAACTAGGGTTTTCGAAAGTTTTAAGTCCAAACAAAGGTATATATCAACTCCTAGGCTTGCAAGGAGTTTGAATGTTAACTTTAAAACCAGGGTTGGTTGAAGGTTTGTCCATACGGGTTGTATGGAAATGCTAGAAAATCCAAGAGAGAGGAGAGAAAGAGGGTCAACGGGAAAATGGTTTGGGTGTGTGTGCATGTGTGTGGTCCAGATGGTAGCCAACCAAAACAAAAGAAAATAAAACCTATGTCTAAGTTCCTAATTGGTTCCAAAATATTAGGGACTTAACATAAATGGTCCACATCCAAAGTAAAACCACACAACACTACACAACGTCCAAGGGTAAAATAGACATTTCATGCAATCGATACAAATAAAATTATTCGGGACAGGCTGTCACATAATTTGTATAATCTTTTCATTTAGGTATGTTAATTTATTTGATATATTTCGGTATATCCATCAATACAAATATATAGGTACATTAATTAAATATAATACATTTTAGTACATATATTCCGGTACGTACATTTCGATACGCAAATTTCAGTTCATTAATTCAATATAGTACATTCGGTACATATATTTTGGTACATATATTTCGGTATTTACATTTAGGTACATTAGCTCAACATAATACATTTTGGTGCATATTTTTAGGTTTATTATAATATATGTCGGTACAAACATTTCGGTACAGTTATTGTTGTACACTTATGTATATACATATTTGTGTGTCACTAATTTCTTTTAATATTTTCTCATTTATATTCATTTATAATTGAAAGAACTAATATGTGCATATTTTTTTTTTTGGAATAAGAATACGTGCATATTAATAAAATTAAAATTTTAATGTGGAGACATTAAATAAAAATACACATTAAATAACAAAAATATAATATAAATTTTAATAAAAGTACACTTTAAAGGATTAAATTAGGAAAGGGATCCTCTCTGGATCCCTTCCACCAAATTCATCAAATTTACCAATCCGGACCCTTGAAATTTGATCAAACGGCTAAAGTTATTACAACTTTAAAGAAGGCTAAAATTTCAAGGGTCCGGATTGGTGGATTTGATGGATTTGGTGGAAATGATCCAAAGAGGATCTCATTCTATTAAATTAAATATGTCATCTAGCACCAGATTTTTTTAAAAATTCAAATATATTGCAAGGACTAATTTCAAAAACCCTTGTTTTTATCTCCTTGTCTTATGTTACTAGTTAAATTTGTGTGTGGTTTGGTGGAACGAGGTAAATGAGGTTGACTTTGATCATTATGATCTCCTTTCCATTGCCATTTTCCTTTACCTTCTGTTCTTAAGATGTCTTTATCTCTCAACAAAGCCTACCTAAATTTTCATTAACAAAAACTCTCCCCTTTGTATATATCTCTCTCTATATAAAATGGCCAC